GGTCCAAAAAAATAAAGTCGGAGTTTTAATGCCGGCACACCCTAGGATTGATCTATATCGAAAAAAATATACCCCTATTTTTTATTTTGAAATCAAAAAATATTTAGGGAGTGCTCAAAGTGCTCAAAGTTTTTCATGTATTTTATATGGAGAAAAAAAACATCTTTTCGTCGAAATAGTGTAGAGTTCTTGAAAATCAATATTTTTCGATCGGAAAACTTTACTTATCTTCAGGAGATTCCCAGTAATAATACTCAATTGTTTCTTTAACAATTTTTTCATGGTATTTTATAGGTCCTCCAAAGCCCTTAGAAAATGCAAAGGACCAATAAAAAATCTGTAATCATAAAAAATGGTTAAATAAACAATTGGATATTAATACTGGAAGTCTCCTGAAGAGAACCACAGTTTTCCGGCCGAAAAATATTGATTTTCAAGAGTTTTATACCATTTCTACGAAAAATTGTTTTTCTACATATAAAATACATGGAAAACTTTGAGCGCTTTGAGCACTCCCTAAATATTTTTTTATTTCAAAATAAAACAAGTAAGAGCAGCGCTGTCTTCGGCTATGCCGAAGGCTTCATACCTTTCATGAACATCTGCAAATTTTAGTTTGACAGATTACTGATTTTGAATACATCTGCATACATCGATAGAGGAGTTACATACTTATATAAAAAATCACATCTAACCAATCAGAGGTATGGAAGATATACTTTACATGGCACCAATCTAAGTGATTTTCACTGCTATGTGATCGGTATATAAACCGGTAACACAATTTATTGGGTTTAGTTTCCTACATAAAGGAGATATATCGCAAAAACTGGTATCTGAACAATCAGTGCTATAGGAGATAAAACTTAAACAGCATAGATTTTGACGATTTTCTCAGTAGACTTTGTATTATTATTTATAAAATATCTTACGAAATTTATCGGTTTTAGCAGTTCAAATAAAGGAGTTTTACAGTAAAATCCCATATCTGAACAATCAGATGTATGGAAGATATATGTTGTAGTCATCCGATCTTCGTTATTTTCACGGTAAGTCTTCTGCTGATAATGAGTGAAAACAGCGCGAAATTTCATGGTCCTAGCTACATAAATGGAGAAGTTATAACAAAAAATCTCATATCTGAACAATCAGTTGTATGGTAGCTATATGTTTTAGTGGTCCGATTCTTCCGGTTCCGACAAATGATTAATACATTATAAAAATACACTCACCTACCAAATTTGATCCGGACATCTCGAAAACTGAGAGACTAGATTGCATACAAACAGACGGACAGACGGACATGGATAAATCAACTCAGCTCGACGTTCTGATCATATAAGTATACATTTTAATGGGTCTATCTCTTTTTGTTCTGGTACTTACAAACATCGGACCAAAGTTATAATACCATTTCATGCTCATGAAAGGTATAAAAATATGGGTATATTTTTTTCGGTATATCTACTTATATAATCCTAGGGGGTGGCGGCATTAAAAATCCGACCTTATTTTTTGTACATACATTTTTGGGCCACTTTAATGTACAGTCGATCATTTAAATACTCAATAGAACGACATTAAATCAAGTAATGGGATAACCCATACCACCAACAATAGATTTGCAGTAGGGCATTGATAATACTCCTGTTTATATTTCATCCGAAGTTTTCGTTATTGATTACACTGAAGGGATCAGGTCATTTTCCCAAGATATATTAATTTTAAGTTTGCATTGCGAATAAAAAAAAAAATCAAACTTTAACATGGAAAATGTTACTCATACGCCATGTAAGATGTGGCGTATGGGTACTTGTTTATTTTATCCATCGATTTTCATTGCTAGTAGCTTGATTTTGTAAATAAAAAAAATAAAAAAAAATAAAAACAGATTTATTATTTTATTAATATTTTTCTTGTTAAGGTTTGAATATTTTTTTCATAAAAATGAAAATGTCTTGAGGAAAATAACCTGATCTAAAAAAACGGTAACAGATCTGTGATCTAGTATGACCCAATCTTCAGTTCACGTGTTTCAGCATTCTTTTGTGTCAAATCATAACTTGAGATTTTCCTTACATTGTTATCAGAGGAACGTTTCTAACCTCCTATGAACTTATAAAGAAGTTTACAATTCTACTTTTCACAAGACAGAAACCCTTCTTTACGGCCAACCTAGTTTAATAGGCGTTAGTTGCTCTGTGCTGTCAGCAGTCTCTGCTAAAGTACCCAATAGTATTTGGGGTCATGTTAGAAAGGTGCGTGTAGTTAATCTCCATACTGTCATCTGGAGGTATAGCTGCCCTGTGTGAGTAAGTAATGTCATTGCAGATACATAGCAATGGCTTATGAAAGTCAGAACAATCTCAAGATCCTTTCTTTTTGCGGGGGTGGGGTTGAGAATCCTTTGATAACACGCGGAAACATGTACGAAGACTCTTGGGCCAGCTAAGCGACAAATCTAGATCTTGACAGGAGTGTTGAACCAAGAGACTCAACTTTACTTCACAGACGCACAATTTGCCGCAGCTATTTAGAGGAGGATTTCGTAAACACTGCTGCCCGCTTTCTATCAATCCCCCTGTCTCTGTGACACCAAATGCCTGCGGAAGCCATTATAAACACGTATAATTCCTTCTTGCTGTCTATTAGTCTTTGTTTGCGATAAGCGTTGCCAAATTAATCTTCAGTGGCCAATTCAATATCTATGTACGTGCGTCGTTCATCAAGCTGAAAATTAATACCCATGCATTTGATATTAAAGCTTTTAAGCTTAACCTTATCTTAACCCCCTTATCCTTTGCTCAAACTTTTCGCCTTGTGCTTTATTAATTTTGTGTCAGTTATTTCGATTACAGCGCGCATTCTCCACTAATTAATTTTGACGCGCTTGAAATTAATTAATATACATAACTTCTATTACAATTATTTATGTATGTACATATGTATCGAATGATCAGAAGTGCGGTGCCGCAGAACATTAAACAATGCCACAAATTAATTAGCAATAATGCATATGAACCCAATTAACAATGGCATTTAATTGAGAGTAATCAAGATGAATTAGAGCATATTTAATTAAATTTAACCGAAACGAAATTATATTAAAATTTAATTTTAACTATTCTACACAAAATTCAGGTACACATTGATTGTTTCAATCCTTAAGAAATTCATGTTCAACTGCTATCTACATCGAAGTTAGGCAGCTGCTACGCGCACAATGTCACATCGATAAGGATGCTTCTAAATAAGTTTGTAGGTATGTATGTAAGTCTGCAACAATACTATCTACTCTTAACATTATTATTGCAATTTAAATAGAAAATTGTATGTAGCCGAAGCAGAGTGTAATATGTATATCCTTTGAAGCTGCTCTGCAACTCTTAACCGCTTGCAGCGAAAAGTGTAGCCGCTTATCTACATCTTATTCGTAGCTACAAGTGAGTTTATTAAATTCGTATTTCTTCTTCTTTCAATAGATTTCCATGTGGCCACTACCCCGGCACTGCGGCAACATATTAAAAAGTCAATCCTTTAGCCATACTTATTCAGGGCATTAAACTTGGCTGTAGCAGAGGTACGGAGAAAGAGAATAGGTAAATAGACAAATTGGTAGTGCATTGCCGCTTAAGATGTGGAGCGAAGTAGCTGACAAATGTTCGCTTCAATTTCAGAAATTCGGGCTTACGCTAAATAACTACGTATGTCGAGATAAGGTGTACCCAATCTGATGCCATGTTTGATATGATTTCATTTTGCTAAGCTATGATTTCCAACCCCTATAGAAGTGGTAACGACCGACCACCAGAGATCTTTCTCTACCTAGTTTAAACAATAGTAGGTTTCTAGAAGCGCGATAAAGTATTTGTTTGTTAAAAAGCTTTAAGGGAGTAACAGGAGCCGCTAAAAAAATTTTACATAAAAGTGAAAGAACCAACTTGAAATTGTGAGTGAAATAAAGTTTCTCTGGAGGAGTTGAATATTTTTAGCCACAGTGGTTATTCATTTAAAGACTTTCACAGCGCAGTTCTCAACAATCTTTACAAAAAAAAAATTAAGTTCAGACAGGCCGCTAATCGAGCAATTAGCCAAGCTTCCTCGATTAAGGCGCTAATTGAGCTAGAATTACCATAGAAAATTTAAATTCTTAGGTGCCCGATTAGTGCTTAAGTGAGTGCTAATTGATGTAGTTATTTCATGCAACCCTGCTGCTGGGTATGTTTAATTTTTTACTTTCTAGCTAATAATAGTATTACATGTATAGATGGATGGTTGATACCACTGGACCACAAATTTCAACTTTTTCTCTTTACCAGAAACGCCGTTATGAAATTCTTATGTAAAATCACCCCCTGATTCCGAAAATCAAGGTTATTTTTAATTCTATGGTACCGTTTTTGAGATATTTGCAATTTACCGTTTTTGCAAAAAAAAAAAAATTGGGTCCACTTTATCATATATATCTCAAGAACGAATTAAGCAATTCCAAAACGGTTTGAAGCTTTTAAAAGGTAATAAAAAAGGTATAAACTGTGCATACAACACTTTTTGCTAGGCCCTGTAGATTCAAAGATAACGAACAATCATTACCGATTTTTTCAATTTTTTTTGTAAAAATATAAAAAAAATTGTACTTTGCGGGGAAGGATCTCGAAAACCTTTTATTTTTTTGCAGTTTTTTTTCCCCCTAAGCTCTGTTGTATTACAAAAAAAATAAGGTATCATCGAAGAAAATCGATGCAAAACTACGTAAGTTATAAGCGATCAAATAAAAATACCCAGGTTGCGCAACTTCAATGTATGTATGTACCTATACATACATACATATCTTAAAGGTATAAAGTGCAAGTGAGATATTATCCGGATAAACGAATAACACCATAACAATGATAACACTTTTTCTTTAAATAAATCAAATAGTACTTTTAATACTCGAATTGTATTATAGTAGGTAGAGTGGTTGCATCGAAAGGAAGAGTGGTTGGGTTCGAAACCTGCTGTAGGCATGTAGTTATAAACATGTATTTCCGTCAGTTATGGGTAAGTATGCAGGTAGATTTTCAAAATTATAAGACACAGAAAATTTCTAAAGCTTACATCTAAAACAGGTAGTATTTTCTTTTCCCGGCTTGTTATAAAAAGGAACCTTTCTGTCTAGGTAAGATTTGATTTTTTCAATTTTATTCTTGTTCCGAGTATAAATATGAGTTAATGCGCTTTGAAACTTCATAACATCTTCAAGGCTCGCCGGAGATAGTTCAGTTCATAAGTCTAATTTCAAAACCGTGATTTATTAAAAAAAATAAAATGAGTAAAAGGAAGCGAGAATTTGAGTGTAATAAGGATCCAGATATGTTCTGTTTCATGTGTGGCCAATATACTATCATAAGGCGACGACGAGTGTTCTCAGATCATATCAAAACTTTATACTCCAAGTATTTTGGAATTGAGCCTAAAAATGCTGAAAAACCATGGACACCGAACACTTTGTGTACATCGTGTCGAGTAGAATTGATTCAGTGGGAATCAGGACAACAAACAAAATTTGATACACCAATGATATGGAGAGAACCTACTTGCCATTCAATAGAGTGTTATATTTGTCAAACAAAAGTACTTGGCGTTGGAAGATCAAGAGGAGTAACCTATGCTGGCGTACCTACAGTGACATTACCAATCAAATTAAGATAAAGATTGTTAGAATATAGTATAAACATAAATAAATTAAAAAAAAAAGTTAAAAATATGGGTAATTTCATTCATAAATTGAACTTTTAACTCAATAGAAACAGAGAATAGCTAGATATTTCACTCTTCTTTATACCATACATACGTTTTGAGGTATACGTTTAAATTGCGCAACCTGGGTATTTTTATTTGATCGCTTATAACTTACGTAGTTTTGCATCGATTTTCTTCGATGATAGCTTATTTTTTTTGTAATACAACAGAGCTTAGGGAGAAAAAAAAAATCTGCAAAAAAATAAAAGGTTTTCGAGATCCTTCCCCGCAAAGTACAATTTCTTTTATATTTTTACAAAAAAAATTGAAAAAATCGGTAATGATTGTTCGTTATCTTTGAATCTACAGGGCCTAGCAAAAAACCTTTTAAAAGCTTCAAACCGTTTTGGAATTGCTTTATTCGTTCTTGAGATATATATGATTAAGTGGACCCAATTTTTTTTTTTTTGCAAAAACGGTAAATTGCAAATATCTCAAAAACGGTACCATAAAATTAAAAATAACCTTGATTTTCGGAATCAGGGGGTGATTTTACATAAGAATTTCATAACGGCGTCTCTGGTAAATTTTGGCCGTCGACCAGTGTACTTAGTTGATGCAAAACCACGTTGTGGTTGAACTCCCGCGTAGATAATATTTGCTTTCCCTGATTCCATATATACACATTTGAAGTTGCCTTTTTTTGCCTTTTTTAAGATATTTGCCTTTTTTTGCCTTTTTTAAGATATTTGCCTTTTTGCCTTTTCTACCTTAAAAAAAGTGATTATAGCATTTACAATCTTTTTTTTAAGGTTAAAAAATCTACACATGCCCATGCGGCTTATAGAAGCACAGGGACCTCTGGCCAAATTGGTGTTGAAACAATAAGGGGTGTGGATAAAATTGTAAAGGGCGGGGAAAACGCCCTTATTTCTGATAATATGAACGTTTCAAACGTTCTATATTTAAATTGGGTTCCACTTGTATCAACTTACGTCGAGCGCACATTTAGTACATTCAAGGCTTTTCTTCGCGAAAATCGAATGAAAATGCTGCCAGCAAACTTCAAAATGCATCTTATGGTTCAATGTTACTACAACTATACAGATTAAAGTTTTATGAGTTAGAAACTCGAAAGAATAAAATAGTCAAAGATTCAAAGTACAAATTTTTCATATAATGAAACTAGTTTTCATAGTTTTTCTCTTTTTACTTGTAATATAAGCATTTCTAAAATAAATATATTTTTTGATTGTTCTTCGTATTTTCTGTCTTTTTTTAGTGCCTTATTTTGCTTTTTTGCAATACCTTTTTTTTTTGTCTTTTCCTGCCTTTTTCGCTATTTTGTTTCGCCTTTTTTTGCCTTTTTTGCAATACCTAGTGCCTTTTCCTGCCTTTTTCGCTGTTTTATTTTGCCTTTTCCAGCCTATTTCGTTACTTTATTTTGCCTTTTTTATAGGTTTTTAGGTCCTAAAAATACGTTCCCTGATGATGAGGTATTATAGTTGCTGGTTCGGTAAAACGATCCCTGCTGTCTTCTGTAGGTGTCGATCGCCAAAAGAAGCAGGATGGCAAATCGGAGAGTGCCTTTATAGGTTACACTGGAAGCAACTGCAGCCTGTCTATAGCTAACACTGGAATATTCAAGCAGCGGTGCAAGCGCAGGGATGCATTTGGGATTAAAGGAATTTTAAAAATTATAGCTAACTTTTTTTGATCACGCTCTTGCACCATTTGTATGCCCCTGCACAAAAGAGGGAGGCTGGCTAGTGGACAATTTGCCCAACCAGAAAATGCGTTGACTACGTTTCAAATGTACCTAAAATGGTGTGTTTGTACCGAAAGCACTTTCAAGGTAAATAAAGGTACGATTGTAACAACTTTTCCATCACTGCAGTTAATTGAGCAATTGTCTGTGTGTGAACACCAAAAAGCGGTAGCTCAATTAAAAGGTTAATTAACTCAATTACGTAATATAAAATTCAAATTTGAGCTCCTTTTAAATGAAATAATTGCGCATGGGGCTGTCGAAAATTCAATCATTTTCCCATCAAGTTGGTCCTGGATATAATAGTTTCTTCAAATGCGTTGTATAAATCCAGGTATTTTATGATTTCTCGCTAGAATATCCAGCATTTTTTTTTACTTTATATGATTTGCCCCCTATCTTAAAAGTAGACGAACTATTATCACTCTCGCCTTGAAGAGCATGGTAGACAATTTTTAAACGGCCGAATGCAGCAGACATTAGACAAGTTACTCAGTAACACAGATACAAAAAGCAGTACAGTGGGGAGAGAGCAGAGACTGTTCATGCCATCGAAGGCTCAACAAGATTTTTACTCTCAACTTTGTGTAAGTCAAAGGAACAAAACAATTTATGGCCTACAAAATACGTAGTGCGCTGCATTTAGCCACCTCCGCCCCCTCCTCCCTGCACAACTTATCTTAGAGCTTTTCTAACTGAAAATACATTCATACATTGCTTGCTGCCCCAACTATATGGCCGCCTATCACACACGCCAATAGCAAATCACATCAGCTCTTTGGCTGTATTATGAAATTTGCGCTCGAAGGTAAAGGCAGACGGACGAATTTGCTTTTTCATTTTTCTTAATTTTGCGGAATTGAAATCTTTCTGTATGCAGGGAAATCGTATCCTTTAACCACATGTACACAATTACGAAAAAGTCACTTCACATAAACCGAGAGGGCTGTTGAGGTACATATGTAAGTGCTTGCGATGATGCGGTGATGAAGACGAAAAAGGAGGCAATGAATTATTGCAAAATAAAGTGTTAAGTGGAAAAGCAAATGAATTGCAAATCTTTTGAAATTAACGCAACAAGAAAGGCAGTAAGAAGGGAAAGTGAAAGCTGCACAAAAAGTCGCAAAAGTTCGAAAAGGACAAAAGGGCACAAGAAAGTAGTTTAGTGTAGCAGATCGTAAAACACTAGAAAAATTTTACATTTTATTTACCGAGTATCAGAGCAAATGAAAATTAGAAACTCGAACGAAACGCAAACGCAAAAGTGAAAATATACATTTATAAATGTGTAAAGAAAGAAGCGCATGAGAAATCGGGGAGAAAGGTCAACAATTTGCCAAGCGTTCAATATCGACATAAACTTTGCTTTTAACATCGATTCGAAGTAATGTAAGCACACTTTTTGGCGTAGATGTGAAATATGTACAGCCAAAATGTGATGTCGAACTCGACCAAGATGCAGACAAAGAAAATTGTGTGT